GACAAAGAAAATGTTGAGGTTGGCAAACTTATCTTTTGATCATTTGAATATTTTTTTGGTTAAACTTTTTCGAGTTTTCATTATCTGTACGTGATAAGATGCTTGTTCTTTTAGGTTTTCTGCTATGCTTTAAGTCCAAATGATGGTACTGAATGGAGGCTGAGAATCCAGTCAGAAGCAGAGCATTTTATAGACGTGTCATCTATGTCATCTGATATGATTGCAAGGATGATTAATGAAGATCAGATACAGATTCTCATTAACCTTAATGGCTACACTAAGGTACTGAATTGGTATAATTTGTTGGACTTGTCGATGTTTTTAATGTTTGGCTCCTAATTTTGCATTAATGTGGCATACTGGTAGAATGATCCATTAAAGCCCATAATAAATGGATTATAAATTCAGTTGAACATTGATTTCAATTACACATTCATAACAACTAATTATTATACATACATTTCGTGGGACTCACTATTGCTCCAACTCTCTTTTTAAACCATTTGTAATTTTGCCAAATGGAGGTTAATCTCTTTGCCGTTCTAATCTGTGGTTCCTTCTCACAGGGTGCACGCAATGAATTATTTGCCATGCAACCTGCTCCTATCCAGGTTTCATACATGGGGTTCCCTGGAACCACGGGGGCAACCTACATACATTATTTGGTTACGGATGAGGTATTGTAATTTTTCCATGTTGTTTTAATTTTTTATTTTGTTTCTGACCTTATAACAGTTTTTCACCTGTCATGTGGCAGTTTGTTTCACCTATGCGCTACTCACATATATACTCTGAGAAGCTTGTTCATCTTCCCCACTGTTACTTTGTTAATGATTATAAACAGGTAGATGTCGAGAGTTTGTACATCATATTTTCAGATTCTCAAAAATTTTGATGTGCTGATTTTTACCTTTGCTGCTGTTTAGAAAAATCGGGATGTTCTGGATCCGAATTGCCAGCCCAAGCGATCACACTATGGACTACCGGAGGACAAATTTATATTTGCTTGTTTCAATCAGCTTTACAAGATGGACCCTGAAATTTTTACCACCTGGTATATTTTGGTTTCATTATCCTTTCGGTTTTATTTTTGCAAACTGGGTGCCATTCTTAGTGAGTCGTCTTCAATCCATGCAGGTGTAATATTCTTAAACGAGTGCCAAATAGTGCGCTTTGGCTTCTTAGGTTTCCAGCTGCAGGAGAGATGAGGCTTCGTGCGCGTATGTTATTTGAGGGATGTCATCCTTATTGAGGATGCATATTTATTTATTTTCGTCTTTCTACAAATGAAACATTAGTAATCTGGCTTTTGCGGAATACCTTAATGACAGTCTTTTTTGTTGTACAGATGCTGCTGCACAGGGTGTGCGACCAGACCAAATAATTTTTACAGACGTTGCAATGAAACAGGAACATATTAGACGCAGTGCATTAGCCGACCTATTTCTTGATACGTATGCATGCTCTGACTACCTTAGTTTAGCATAGATTTACTCTCAGTAATTTTTATGTAACTCTTGATTTTCCTGATGAATAGGCCACTGTGCAATGCACATACCACAGGAACGGATGTTCTTTGGGCCGGTCTGCCAATGATAACTCTTCCCCTTGAGAAAATGGCAACAAGGGTTGCTGGTTCACTGTGTTTGGCCACAGGACTTGGGGAGGAGATGATTGTGAATAGGTGGGTACTACAATTTGTGATCAGCTACATAAAAGGTGCTGACCAGGCCAGGAGAAGAGGGGATAGATTGAGAATGCTTTTACAGAAGTTCTAAAAAATTGCATTCCATGCTTACTTCTCCTGATAACGAAATATGCGCAATTTTAATTGGTGGCTGCAAATAATGCGTGCTTATGCTGAAAAGCGCGTATTGATTTGCTTTTATTTTTTTTATGTTTGCTTATTTGTCTCATCATCTTGTTTTGCAGTATGAGAGAGTACGAGGAGAAGGCTGTATTGTTGGCATCAAATCGCATGAAGCTCCAGGATCTTACTAACAAACTCAAGGCTGCACGTTATACTTGCCCTTTGTTCGACACATCACGCTGGGTGAGTTATCCTATATTTTGTTCCTCTGTGTTTTGAAGTCAGTTGTTCTGTTGTCTTTACCTTGCACTTGGTAAGGCCACCTGTTTCTATTATATGGCAACGTATATCACTTTTAATTTTGACTAATTCTCCTTTTTGTCTTCAGGTGAGGAATTTGGAACGCGCATACTTTAAGATGTGGAGTCTGTACAGCTCCGGTCAACATCCTGAGCCCTTTAAAGTGACTGAGAATAACTCGGAATTTCCATATGATCGGTAGACCCTGAGAAAGATAATGGGAATCCTTAATAAAGGAATTTGGTGTACTAAATGTAGTGTCACGCAACATGGAACTAACAAATTCATGAACTCTATCTCTGTCCAGAAGAATAGAGAAATTGATGATGCTATCCTATTATTCCGGGCTTTGCTATGTGCTTTGATCTCAATCTAACAATTTCTTCAGCGTGGTGTTGCTTTTATTCATTTAAGATGATTAAAGGGTAGCTGGTTTTGTTCTATGTTGATATTTAAAGCCAGTTTGACCTATCCTTTTCACGTACTTCCTTGTAAGCTTTTGGATACGAGGGGCTTGATTCGTTTAATCTCAGGAAATCTAAATTTCGTGTATTCAGAGGCAGTCTATTAGTGATTCTTGTTTGTGGTTCAACTTTGGAGGCTTTGATACATCCACAGGAGGGAGATGCGGCTGGGGAAGGAAAACCGAAAAAGGTTCGATTTGCAGGCTGCGACTTGCAAATTTCAGGCAACTTATGAAGTAGATTCAGAATGAGAAATATGAAACAAGAGCTTCTTTTCATAAAATTTGTAAAAAATGTTGACTAATAAAAAATGACAGTATTACTAAAAATATGAGGAGGAAGATTATTAACTGGTCAAACAATTCGTCTTGGTTCTAGTCGTCGCCTTTAAACGCAAACGAATGCTGGTTTTCAGCTCTACTTCGGCCTATATTAAACTGTTTTTGTTGAAGACTTGAACAGAAAATGAGTACGCAAATTAGTTTTCTTCACAATATCCTTATCCCACTAAAGATTTTAGGTACACCATGATCAACAATTTATTATTTATTCCATACCATTCCAACATGTGTCATGGCAAAAACAGGAAGGAAAAAAATCAGTGGGTATATCTATTTGGTAGGAGATGGTGTTGAAGGTGCAAAGTTGAGCAATTCTTTCGAGTTCACCCACGGCTTGACCACCACAACTGCATCGAAATTCTTGGGAATTCCGCTCCCATAAACGGCGGTAGAGATCTTGAGATAGTACTTAATCCCGGAAACCACCTGCTTCTCCGCTTCCACCACCTGCGAAAACGTGAGAAGTTTTCTGCCGTTTGCACTGTGCTTCTGCTTACTATTGTACTGTTCCACGCAATATTTGCCCAGATCTTGCACTTCCTTATTGTTTTTCACATTCTTCACCTCTGTTCTGCCTCCCACAATTCCTCTTAGGGCGTTAGCCTGTGTTGCCACTAGGAATAAGAGGAAAAGGAGAAACACTGAAGTATTGGCCATCGTTAGAAAATTAGATAAGACGTGAATACTGTGTGTGTTGGGATTTGGGATGGAATATGATATGTATTGGAGGGAGTATAAATAGGGGTGGAGTTGGGCAAGGACACGTACCAGAGAGGTGGCGGTGGCTGCGTTTACGGTGTGCCGCGTTTGTTTAGGCAATTTGGGGAAGGTTATAGTTTAATAAAAATTGAGGTTTTGTAATCTTGTGGGACATTACAGCTATTTGGATGTGTTTGATGGTTATCTCTTCGCATAGCTCATTGGTTTGTCGTTTCCATGTTAGATGTTTCATGTGGTATTTGCAATGTTTTAGTTGGATGTTTCACACTCTTTACCCTCTCTTTAAATCCCGAATGACTTTCTTCGAGTGCCGTTCATGGAAGGCTTTCTCGTAGGGTTATAAGTGTTGATTCCAAGGGTTGTAAAGAATGAGATTTAATGATGATGTGAAGTAATAAAGATCACAATATAAAACAAGATTAAAAATAAAAAAATAAACAAAGAGAATTTATCGTAAAAGAACGATGTATTATAAATTGACAATATAGAGAAAAATTACAGACACAACAATAATACTTAAACAAAACTGACAGAGAAACCTTATATTTATAGGCCACATTTTAAACCCTACAGGAGTCCTAATAAAAAAAAATATATTACAATTAGGAGACTCAATTTCAACGGGATTTTGTTTCCTTGATGTTGAATGCAGTTAGACTCCTTTCCAACACCAACAACACGCGATTCAAGACTCCTATTTGAGTCACAACTCTAATAATCTTCACATTGACTCAAATTTCGGTGCAACGAGCGGAGCTTCACAAAATTTTTCTACCTGAGAAATAAACACGTTTGCATTAAAATGAAATGACAAATCTTCTCAATGCAGTAACCAAAACTCTCTATATAAACCATCGTCCTCTGCACGGCATCCACAAACGACACCAAAATCCTACTCCCGAGTTCCCAAATTTCACCAAGGAATTAATGTTTACCAAACAAGATCGAAGCACACCCTGTAGCAAAAACCATATAAAATGCCTCAACAGAAGGCTACTTGTTAGAATTGTCGCCTTTAACGTCCCCAAAAGTATTACAGACATCACTGACACCACGGTACCTACGCTCAATGGATCCAATCTTAGCAACTGAACACAGTGCAATCGCTGAAATTGGTGGCAAAGCGGAATCACCAACGCTCCCTCGAGTAATGTTTTGAATCGACTCAGAGCCCATTACAAAAGATACTGTACCAAACTGAATATCCACAACGGTACTGAACTTGTCCATATGTCTCTTAATTGGTTATGCGCTCCTCTGCAAGATGTACAACTGAGGCATTCTTCATCCCTTTTGACACCCTTTCGGACCTCTCTAGACTCTACCTCCACCTCCATCAGAGAATTTATACCCTTTTGCATCCAGAGTACTAAGCGAGATGAGATTCCTTTTCAGGTCTGTAACATGTCGAACCTGATCAATTATTCTTACTGTCCTATCCTGCAGCCTAAATCTAAATTGACCGATCCCAGCAATACAACAAGACTGGTTGTTTCCCATTACAATTCCACCTTGTTGAACAACCTCATATGTCTAAAAGAAATTTCGATTGGAACACATGATGCGAACATGTTGAATCAAGAATCCACTTCTCGTCTGGCCTAGATCCACAGACACCACGGTCAACTTCACATCTCCGCCGTCTGAAAAATCCTCAGCTATATTTGTTTCGTTTGAAGTCAAAGGTTGCGCTCCACGATTTGCAGCTAAATCACATTTGGCCTGCAACTTATCGCAATCCTTCCGAATATGTCTCTTATGTCTGTAGTAGAAGCAAAACAAATTGGTGTTATTCTTTGATCTGCCTCTCCATCGACCACCATGAAATACAAGAGTTTCCTCATCCCTTGATGTAGCTCCAACCAAATGCTCCAACTTCTACTTTGAGTGCAAAGCATCATAGACGTTATCTATAGTCAAAGTATCCCGACTATACAAAATGGTGTTTCGAAACGACGCATAAGAGCCAAATACTGAACATGATATGATCAAGGCTAGATCCTTTTCATCGTACTTAACTTCCAATGTCTCTAGATTTGCAATAATTTCCTTGAACACGGTAATATGGTCCTCCAGTGACCCTCCTTCTACCATACGATGAGAATATAGCTTCCGCTTTAGAGCCAATTTGCTCGTGAGACTTTTAGTCATGCATAACTGCTACAGTTTCAACCACAAAGCAGTCGCTATTTTCTTCTTCAAGACATTCTGCAGAATATTGTTGGATAAATGAAGATGGATTTGTGATAAAGCCTTTTGATCCCTCCGTTGTTTCTCTTCTGTTGTCCAATCAGTTGACATCTTCTCAAAACCTAGCAGCGCATCGTCCAAATCCAACTGCGTTAGAATAACCCTCATCTTTACTTGTGACAAAGAATACATTATATTGCGATCCAGCAGCAGAATGACATACCTCATGGTAGTCATATCTGAAAAAACCTCAATCAATCCACAGAAGAAGAACTAAGTTATGATACCACTTGTTGATCCCAAAAGCTTGTAAAGAATGAGATTTAATGACGATGTAAAGTAATAAAGATCACAACAAGAAGTAAGATTAAAAGTAAAGAAATAAACAAAGAGAATTTATCGCAGAGGAACGATATATTATAAACTGACAATATAGAGAGAAATTACAGACACGACAATAATGCTTAAACAAAACTGATAGAGAAGCCTTGTATTTATAGGCCACGTTTTAAACCCTAAACGAGTCCTAAAAAGTAAAAAAAAAATATTACAATTAGGAGACTCAATTTCAACAAGATTTTGTTTCCTTGATGTTGAATGCAGTTAGACTCCTTTCCAACACCAACAACACGTTATTCAAGACTCCTATTTGAGTCATAATTCTAACAATAAGCACGTTAATACCATTTTTCGATTCCTTAATAGGCACATTCTTAAATCATATGTAAGCCTGGGCACATACTTGTATACCATTTGTTGCACTCATGTCCTCAACTTTTTAAAGTCGTGGCACACGTCTTTAGCATATACAAAACATTTATTTGAACGTGAAGTGGTTTCGTGACATTCACGTTGTGTTGTGGATGTGTTGATGGGGACATGTTTCTTGAATATTGAGAAATTTTACCTTTTTTGAATTTTTGAACGAAAGTTGAAGTTACTATTTAAATTGTTTTAGAATAATACATTTTACTTTCAATTTGGCTTCAAGTGAGAGTTAACATTTAGCCTTGGCACATGTTTATAAACATTCAAATAAATTTTTGAATTATGCTAGGTGTACACTTTGGCTGACAACCCTCTAATAAAGGATGTGGCCGGTGATTATTGCTGTCAAACTAAGTGTACACCGGAATTTTGTCCTAATCCTATCTTCTTGGAGAAAGTAGGGCACTCGTTTCAATAGTTGTGATTGCGCTTTTTAACGATGAAAATGACTGGCCTGGAATACCCATTTTGTAGAGCTTACAAGTATTAATCACTCGTCCGACATTCATTTCTATTTATTTATAAATAAAATTGATTATAGTTACTTCCCAAACATGCTTTTAACGTTCGATCAATAGTTTTTAGCTGAAGTTTTAAAACGTTAGGACATGAACATTGGTTGATCGGCTCCAATTATCTTACAACCAAGTAATTGGAAATTTTCATACTTCGCAAAGTTGTCTTCCTTGGTTCCGCCCTTCAATTCATGTTATCTACTAAAGATTATGATAGAGCAGTTTATGAATATCTTCGCAGTGGACTTGATTTTACCAAAGATGTAGATTACGAAAGTCAAGTAGTCAAAAGCATCACTAACTTATGTTTTGATCCGAGTAGTATGGTTCATGTGAAATCCTATGTGAATGAACAAGGACCACCCTTTAAGGCTAAATATTCCTGAGTGACAGATAACGAAGTAATATCGTGAGGGAAGGGTGAAAAGAACTCCCATCTTGATCTTATGGTATTGGATGAAAAAGTGGGTCCTGCATTGATGAGGAAAAAATCCTTTTAAGTTCTTTCCTCTAACTCCTGGTTTATAAATTTATAGAAGAGTTTTTTTACAGTAATGAGAAACTCTATGATGAATGCATAGCCAGTGGAAAAATAGCTTGGTCGTTTTTGTTGCGTGTAGAAGGTCTTCGGTGGAATTCATTAAAGATAGGTTCAAATCGACAATGAAACCTAATGGTATCATATTCAATCACTACTATATGAAAAAATAAAGTAATAATTCATAGGAGTCAGAGGAGGAGTAAGACTTCTCAGGTCCATGGTACCGCAATTAGCCTCTTTTATTGATTCTTGTGAATACTAGAACGTCTTGTTAATCTTTAATGTACTTTATAAAAGTAACTAGTTAAAATTAGTCGGTGAAGTTTTTTTAAGAAGTTATCCCAAGTGAAATTTCTCCGTTTGCTAATATTACGACGTAAAACAACTATAGATAATGCAAAATCTTGATTTCTCTTTT